ACTTTTTTGTTTATTTCTAGTCTTTTCAATTTGTATTGTACAATGCCATGTCTTTTATTGCTGTTGCAACACAAACATTTCCCAAAATTGGGATCAATAAAGTACTATCTTATTTTATTATTTTTCTTAACCCTTAGATGCACGAGTGACTGGACCCTACAGTCTTCCATAAGTGGGTCAAAAAGGACCCATATTAGAATAATATGTGTTTTCATGCCATTTTTGTCATTTTGGTTAAGAAAAATCACTTGTATAATATTTAGTATTATATTTTGGTTTACACTAGAAATATTTTATATTAAATTTTTCACTATTTAGAATTTTAGAATTAGTTTTTACATTGTGAAACAAAAACGAAATTCCATAGAACATGCATGCGGGTCATTTTTGACCCACTTATGGAAGTTTGGGGTAGTAATACAAAAACTTAATTTAAATTTAAAATTTGAATGGCATGATATCCAAAACATGTTTTTTGAGGAATAGCTGGAATAAGAAATTATACATTTTTTAAATTACAAAGATACTCTAAGAAAACCACCTCACCGGGTCAAAAAAGACCCACTTATGCATCTAAGGGTTAACATTGCACACAATGTACAACAATATTTTGTATTACTGCCGATTTTTATTCCATATTTCATTCCATTCCATTGCAATGTAAATACTGTTATATTTTACTATATTTTTGTATTATTTTAAATATTTTTCTAGTTCTCTACCTGTGTTTTTAATTCTTGTTTTATGTATGCACCACGACACCAAGTCAAATTCCTCGTAGGCTACGTGTAAACCTACCTGGTAATAAATCTGTTTCTGTTTCTGATCTATCTATTAATCTTTATTTTTTTTTCCTCCTCCGATACAGTAGGTGTCAGTATGCACCTTGGAAGTAGTATACACAATCTTCCAATAGACCTGTAGAAGAAGGAGGAGGCGTTTCTTTGGTGCAGCAGCACGGTGCGAAAAGGCGCACAAGTGTAGTCAGGCAGCGAGCAGCAGCATGTGGGAGAGTCAGGAAACCTCCGGGGCCAAAAACGGTGGCGACAGCCCGACTGACCGGGCACTGAGGCCGGCCGTGGGCAACAGGGTCAGCGTGGTGCTCGGAGCTCAGTGGGGCGACGAGGGGAAAGGGAAAGTTGTGGATCTTCTGGCACAAAACGCGGATATGGTGTGCAGATGTCAGGTTGGTCCCCACTCATACTACTACCTTCATGATGCATTTACTTGTCATGCATTAATCTGGTTACCCCTCTCTTAAGTTTGAGATCATGCTCATAGTAGATAGCGAGCATCTCATTCACTGTCTTCTTCTCAATGTTTTGCTAATGTCACCTTGAATCCCTGCTAGCTGCTTTTAGCTCCTCTGACACATTTTAATGTCTGTGATCATGACTCCTGTCGCGTGCACATGACTAAATCCTGCAGGCACCTTTGGCCAACTAAAGTGACCAGGTGCATCCCTTCTGACCGGGCTGTGGTGCTCTCCATTGGTGCGTCAGAGAGCTAGCAAAGGGACTCCAATACTGTTGGCTGCAGGCTTTTATTCACTCTGCATGGGAGCTGATGTTTCATTTTATACTGTGTCATCTGTGGTGTTAGTCAAAGCATTATCCTGGTTTTTAGCTTGAGCTGAATGCTGCTTTATCTACATAAAAGTTGTGCGAATTAATCAGATATTATGGTGTTAGTCAGATGACAAATTCGTTTTTTGACTGGTCAAGGAAAAAGCTAAATCACAAAATGCTTTGTCAAAAATGTTCAGTGTCAATTCTGCCGATTATTGCTCTCTGTGCTTTGTTTTGTGTAGTATTGGTTCAGTGTCAGAATCATTTTAGAGGGTAAAGGGCAAAATTGCCGCGTAATTCAGGCAATTTGCAGCATTAATCACAATCTAGGGGTGGACATGTTGTCATTGTTGTAACAATGCCTTTAAATCTCAAACATCGGCGGTCAAAATAGCCCTAAATTGCCCTTTGAATTCCTCTGAAATGTTCCTCCCTGCAGGCGTCACTTCCTCTGTAAACACTACACACACTGTGGTTTTTAGACCTGCCCATACATGCACCACCTTATCATTTTGGACATGCTGGGAGGGGACATGGTGTAAAACCAGACAACATACATAATCTGTTGACAACATATTCTCAACTTTGTCAAGATGAACGAACCAATTATTATCAGCATATAAGGGGTGTTTTAAAAAATGCGTAGTTGTGACCGAGAGGCTCCCTCTTTAACAGATGTAAGTATAAAGAGATGTGATTGTGCAGCAAGTTGTTATTCACCTTCACTTCTTCTTCTTACTTAATCTGCACTTTACTCTTGCTGTTGTATTACCGTATATTTCCCAGTTGTGAGACAAGTAAAGGAATTCTAATTCTGGCTATTTCAGCACAATGACTGTGTTGTTGTTGTTGTTTTATCTTATCAAGCTGTGTGTTTTAATGACATCCATGTGACCCCTCCACTTGGCTTTATCTCTGGCACGTTGGCTCAGTGTGGTTTGACTCCATGTTGAATTTGCATCCAGTCTAGTTTTCTCATGCAAAACTGGTGGTTTAGAGACGCTGAAATGATGACATGGGCCGGGCTAACTCAACGCTTTGCCCACTGTTGACTGGGAAGTCTCTGGTAGACAGTCAGGAAAAGCGGTTGATGAAGGACTGGTCCCTTGTTTTGTGATGATGGTCTTGAACAACATACTAAAAGGATAATACAGGACACGGTTAAAACCATACAGCCCAGCACGTGCACTCCGCTCTGCATCAGCCAAACAGCTCGCTGCACCCGCACTGCGAGGGGGACCCAAGTTCCCATCAGCAAAAACACGTGGGTTTGCTATCCTGGCTCCAAAATGGTGGAATGAGCTCCCCATTGAAATCAGGACAGCAGAAAGCTTACACGTCTTCCGGCGCAGACTAAAAACTCATCTCTTTCGACTCCACTTCGAGCAATAGAATGACTAACAAAGCACTTATATAAACCTGATGTACTTATATGATTCTGTTTTCTTCTAGTTTGTATCTTCTTGGTCGAATGCACTTATTGTAAGTCGCTTTGGATAAAAGCGCCAGCTTAATGTAATGTAATAGCAAGTAAATAAAATATTAAATAACAATGTATCTACAAACAAACATTGTAACATTAAAGAAACATAAGATCATTTGAAAGGATATACTGACATAAAGAAAAACAAGACCGCCAACATCTAAAACACATGTAAACAAGAAATATTAAAATAACATAACACAAAAAAATCTGGCTTTAAGTCAAAGGTTAAAAGGTCTACAACAAGTATAAGAAAGAAAGAAAGAAAGAAAGCATGTATCAAGACAAAATGTGTTCACTAGACTGACTATTTCTGGTTAGTCTTCTCTCTTTCAACTCATATGTGGCATCAATGATTCATAAGACGAATGTACAGAAAACAGAGATGTACTGCTGATCTCCATCATTCATCAGAAAGAACAAAGAGGCAGTGTACCACAGCCTCATTTAACCCGTGTTGCGTGAGGCCAGGTTACACTCAGCAACACTCATTACTTTATCAGGTCTTAAAATGATGCAGCCGTTTCGCCAAGAGGCTGTGTCAACAGTACTAGTCGATACCCACACACAGGCTGGAGGGTTTCCACTTCATGCCAATAATACCGCTAGGGCAAGGACTCCAAACCTCCGCCCCACGGAAGATAAGAGGACGGAAGTACCGGAGCTTAGCAGGCTAAGCATCAGCTGCTAAACGGACTATCCCTCCCCATCCAGGAGGGCATTGCAGCGATAGCCAGCCAATTATGAATGACCATATGGTTGGACTGAATTTGCCCTGCATTACATTAAAGAAACGCCGACAAACTCTCATACGTCTGTAGTGCTCTGTGCCCGTCTCTAAACACAAGAAGCTCTCAATTAAAACGGCCTTAAACACATCCTTATTATCCAGAGCTTATCTAGCGTTAGCTTGCTAGTGAATACGTAGCCTGAAATTGACACTCTGGTTCACGTTAGCTGCAGAAAAAACACATACATTAGACTACACGTCGTTTTGTCATATATTATTTACCGCCTGTATTAAATATTAAACGGTTGTGAAAGTGATGATAGCAACACAGATACAAATGCAGTTGTTATCCCGTGAAAACGCATGAAATCAAGCTAGCATCGCTACCTTTAATGCTAACACAGCAGACCGTTACCACTATTTAAAAGTGGCAGCAGGAGCTAGCTAAGCATCCCAGCTATGTCAAATGAAGGTTACTCTTCTTATTTACGACTAAATGTTGAGTATAAATCCAGGGTATAACAAGCGTGTAACCATCCACTGAAACTATTAGACTTAACACGGCCCCGCAATGACAAAAACAACGCAGTGTTTACCGTGAAAGGTGTGTTTAATCCTCAGCTTCCCAGCAACGACTAGCCCAGTCAATGCCCAGTTATGCACCTGCAGTAGCTCCGTGCGCCTCTTGAGTGACAGCCCCGGCATAAGCGGCGACGTACCTACGTACAGAGTGTAAGGACGATTGGCACGAGGATTGACCAATCAGAGAAGAGGATCCGTTCATTCACACAGGGCCCTGCCTCCACCCATTTTGTAAATTATTGCGGGGGTTTGATTCAGTATTTAGCTGAGGCTGAAAAAGTGAATGAAGATGGTGTAAACGTTGTAATACAACAGAATAATAAAATAGACAAATGCAATTACAGTAGAGCAAGATAGGGACATGTTTTACATTTTGTTTACTATATTATTGGATTGTAATTATTGATTCACAATGCTAAAGTTGGTAAAGGTGAAGTTAATGACGTTATAAACTTCTTTCTGGTGAAACATTTGTATTTATTTAAGTCTGCAATGTAGTGCAATACAATATGAAATAGCTTATATTGTAAATAGACTATTCAAGTAAAGTATAAGTACCTCAAAATTGCCCTTAACTTTAGTACTTTTTTGATCGTCATTAGTTAATTTTCAGCTTTTGTTTTGATCAGCAAAATAGACCTTATCAAAAGTATAGTTATTATGAAGAACGGTCTCGTTTGGAGTTATGTTACCACTGATATCCTATTATTGTATTATATTTATTACAGGTGCATAATCATATGCAATATTTTACTATTGTAGTTGTTAAATGCATATTCTTTTAGCCATCTCTTGGGGTTGTTTAATGCATTATATTTCATAAGCCCACATAACTGAACAATCAGTTGATGCATAGTACGATTTTCTAATGACTTACCATCAGCAAGCTGCTTCCTTTTAGGAGGTTGGTTTAGTTTCCTCAACATTTAGAGAAAAAGACATCAAAGAGTGAATCGTTTTTTCCTTTATTGGCAAGGCAAACAGTTCTAGTTGGAGAGAGGGCTAACACACCCACAGTTAAACAGCAGAGTTTGGATTGTCAAAGCTGCAAAGTCTTCACGACCAATATTCATAAAATCTCTAAGAACAGAAAAACTGATCTAGGATGACTTGAGGCCGTGTGACTATATTATCTTCACTATATATCAAAGAAGTCTCAGATCAGCACACTTACTGTAAGATCGTGAATGAATGTGTGATCAGATCATTGAAAACAGAGGAAAACAGGAGATGAGAGATGTCTCAGAAATATGTCACTAAACTATTTTTATACCAAGAAAAACATGAAAGTGAATATTTTTGCTTATGTATAATGTTATTCGCAGACATCAAGAAAAGAAAAGAGAAGGGGGAAAAAAAGCTGAGTTATAGTTGACATCTGTCCTGTGTGACTTTCTCACACAAAAGTACTAAACCTCAGACTAAAATAAGTCTACCGTTCCATCGTTTCTGACAGGTAATACCGAAATAATAAATAAACTGTACATGAAGCACTGTGAGGAAAATGTACAAAGTCAAACAATTAGTGACATGCAGAGACAGACTGAATCCTTGCATGTTGTGCTGGTTGAGCTGTTAGATAGTCCTTAGTGTTGAAGGCATCCTTGAGTGTTTGTCTGTTTGGTGATGTTTATGGCTACAGAAAGGATTGCACATGTTTTACTCCAGCATGTCAGTTAACACATCTATGAAAAAAATCCCAAGTTTGAAGGTAAGGCGTTCAGCTCGTTCACACATTCAAATAGTTTTCACTCTGTTTTATGGTTATAAAATAAAACAAGTTTTTCCACAGGTCAAGTTCTGTAAGATCTCTATATTCTTCATCCTGCAGCCAACGTCATGCACTTCAACAGAACGCCTCTTTTTCATACACTCATTTATAAAAAGGACAAAAAAAACGACTTCAGTCCCTCCGAAATCCGACCTTTAAGAGCTGTGGTGCAGCCCGTGCAATTCAACTCAACCACCAGCCATCAGAAAAACAGTGAAACAGTCACTATACATGTTAAATTGTACTGGAAGTGCAGAACTGTAAAAGTACCATACAAAGTGCTTTGGTTTATTCTTAGCAAATACATCAAAAAAGTCAACCCAGTCATTCACTCTCACACAATAAACAAAACACTGTATTAAGACAATATCAGTTTCAGTTACCGTTAGAACTGGAGTTTAAAAACAATTGTAACAGAGACACTCGGGTCAGATTGGCACACAGTGTGCTACAATCAACCAACTTTATCAGTCATGGATGGAAAGTAGCCAGTGGCAAAATGGAAATTACAGTACGGGTTGTGTCATGCTTGCTTGGCACTTGTTTGTCATTGACTATGTCCCTGTGAAGAGCAAAATATTGATCAATGAGGAAAAAAAAGCCATCCTGGTTTGTTTGTTTTCTACAGTTACAATGATGCTGACATCCGTCTTTGCAACCCTTGTGCTTGGATGCTGTGTGACACGTCTGTAGTTACCATGATGGATTTGTATGGATAGTTTGATGCAGTTTGTAGATGTACTGTAGCGTTTAGCTTTTGCATGATGTCTCCGCTGGTTGCTTGGCAGCCCTTCCAAAGCTGTTTTGAAGTCAACAGCCATGACATGTGTTCATGTTTTGGCTCAGTCCCAACTGTAAAGTGCTCAACTTGAAGGGAAACCTATAAAAATGGGTGCCAAATACTAAGAACTCAAGAATTAGTGACTTGAAATGTAAGTCAAAATAGCAACAAAACTGAAACATTACTGATATTTGGGCTAGTCCTACAGTTCAATGGGTTTTGAATATAGCTTTGCAAATCATTTGCCTCCAATGCCAGAACTTTAATTCCACATGTCGACACTGGGAGGCACCACATGCACAGCCCACATAGCTGGATGTAATTCCTGACTGAATAACACTACGCTGACCGTGGTTCATTATTGTCACCGACAATATCATAGTTTAGGTTTATAAAAATGGAAATAGTGAGCCTGAAACACTTCTAAAAAACGTACATAAAATATTATGCATTGCATGCCATTTATAGCAACACTACTGTTTGCTGAACATAATTAAATAGGCTGTGCAAGCTGAAAGAAGTGCTACGTATACAATAATAATGATAGCGCCACTCATGTTTGCTACATTAAAAATGACTGCATAAAATCATGCATAGCTCCTTTCTGCCATTACTTTGCCTACACTGCTTTGGAGTCTGCTATTTACTGTACCTTCATTGACTGCAATTCAATGGACCTAAATAAAAGACAACAAAACAAACAAAATAAGAACTAAGAAGGCAGGGTGAAGTTTGGCAAGATGTCTTAAAATATGTTTTCACGCTCATTCATAGCTTCCTCACTTTCTTCACAAAGAGGAAGACAGTTCTTTCTTTGTTGAAGTAGACCTTGGGTTGGCTGGTAAAGGGGAAGTTTTAGGTTTAAAACTTCTCATCCTCGCTGTAGTTCATCCACAGTACGTCTGACTGAAAGACGCAGAGCATAGAGGACAGTTCAGAAACTTGGTTTCCTGTCCTCTATTAAAATGTCCATCTGTTTCTCTCCAGTGCAAGTGACTGCTGGGTAAAACTGCAGCATTTTTTTAACACCCTCCGCAACCACCGCACTCACTTACTCCCCACCCTAGGTTTGCTGTGATGCTGTCCGCAGAAACCAGGTTGGTTGGAGTGGGAGAAAGGGAGTCAAGAGGAGGCACCGAGATCAATAAAAGAAACAAAAAAGGCCAAAAGAAATACTACTTTTGGCGGGTGCTATGTCCCAAGTCTGAAGCGTGGGACTCCAGAGACGCCTTCATTCTCTGTTTCTCTTTCTTCAGCCATTTCTTTATCAGAGTCTAATGAAAACGTTCTGACTGAATCAGTGGTGAGCTTTTTGGTGAGCATGCGAGACGTGGACGAAACTGAATCCAATCCGCTGCCAGAATCACTTCTGGAGAGTTCGGGCCCCCGACTGCCGCTGTAGCTCTCCTCTTCCTCGGGCAGACTCTCGTCATCAGACTCTCCCTCCTCTTCCAAGGTCAGCTCAAACTGGAACTTGTCCGCCGAAATAGAGCCGCTGCCCCCACCGAGTGCTGAGGCTTCCCCGGTGAGGGCTCCCTCCTCGGGGCCCTCTGGGTGGGGGGAGGGGCTGTGGGGGATCATGCTCTGGTACCACTCTCTGTTATCCTCCAGTGTGTCCAGGATCTCCTGAGCATCGGGGTGCACCAGGTCGGCCCACGTCTCCCACAGAGGGTGAACAATGTAGTCAATGAAACCCACCTAAAGAGCGAGACAAAAGTGTTTTTTTCAGTACCCTTCTTGCTAAATTCTCTCCACCATTGTATTTGTTATTTATTTTATACACCCTTGTTAGTCCCACAGAGGGGATATTTATATTCTGCTTTTGACCCATCCTAGTGCTTGGGAGCCGTATTGCAAAAATTGAGTAAATTTCATGAGTTAAATATTTCAGCTCTAATATTGTACCTGGTTCTTCTCTATGGAGGCGTTGTGTTTGTCACACATGGGGCTGACCTCCATGCCCTTGTCTCTCTCCCTGTCCCCCTGGGTGAAAAACTCCACCATAATGCGATCGGTCCACTGTCGGTACAGCTCCAGAGGCTTGGTGGGGTTGCTCAGGTCTGCACAGTGCACCATGTTCTGAAGGACCTACAGTGAAATACATGAAAAAATATGCCTATTCAGATATACAGCACACATGTTTCTGTTTGGTTTGCTTTTGTTTTGGTTTCCATCAGGCCCTGAGATTGAACATTGTACGGCTAGTTGTAACTTAGTGAGCAGTTCTGTGTTAAGTAGGAAGTGCACAGTCTGTTTTTTAGCTTTCCTGCTGGGAACATACATGGTGCAGACCGGATTAAACTGAACTAAAACAGTAAAGTTGGAGGCTGTAAAAAACAAATCAATTAGCTGAAAGAGGCTACAATGCTCTGTAGTGCTAAGGTAAACTACAAAATACAGTATTTTTCATATTTAATGTGAACATATTGAAGCTCTTAAAATTTATAATAAACCGTTTTTTACCTGTATGCGGTCTGAGTAGTTATCCAGCAGTAGCACTCCTAGACTGGTGACTTTCTTGGTCTCCACCATAGTTTTCAGGTCTGCCAGGAGGTTCATGTGTTTAGACATATCTGTCGCCAGCACCTGTAGATAAAGCAACCAGATTTAAAAAGATTGTTTGAATAAACAAAGTGTAATCCCTGAAATGAGAAAGATCAGAACTATGTCGCTAATCTTACCATATCAATGACCATTTTGCGCAGCGACTGCCTCTGCTTTTTGCTCAGGTTCTGAAAGATGTCACAGTTATCTTCCTGCAGAAGCTTGAAGCCAACAGCAAGGTGGTGATTTTCCAGCACCGAGGAGTCATTGTACATCAGGGCCAGCTCAGAGTCTGAATGCAAAAACAAAACGTTTACAGACAGCACAGTAAAACACCAAAATGGGAAACACAAATCTACACAGACACGTGTATACAGACACTCAGCACTCACACACTTTCAAATAACAGCTGTGGAGTTATTCAAACTCACTGGTGTTGATGAGAAACTGATTGGAAACTCCAGGGTGATCCACATCATGGATGCCGCTTGCAAACAGAGCGGCTAGGATCTCCAGATCAGTAAACACAGCCTTGGATGAGACACGAAGGAAAATACTGTCAACATGTGTGCATGTATTTGTGTTAATGATAATGGAAGTACGAATCTGCCCCCCTTGGTGAAATTACAAACCCTACCTCCAGAGCAGGCGTGGACAGTAGGACGTGCGTGGACTGGACCACGTCTGCAGCATGGATGTTGTTGTGGTAGGCCGTGTCGGCATGGTAATGATCCTCCAAAGTCATCATGAAGGTAATGAAGGTGTCTGCGGGAATCTTAAAGGACTTCAGCAGGTCACGCTCCTACAGCAGCAGGAGAGAAGGACAGTCAAGCTCGATCATTTACTAAAATGTGAGGTCATTCATTCAAATACTGTCTTGTTCGTCAATTTACCGTAGCAAATGTTGAGAAAGAGAAGAGTTACCTGGAAGACGCTGTACATAGTGACCGTAAGAGGGCGTTTCCCAGAATACTCAGAGACCTTGAAGATGTCGATACCCCATCTGTTTATGTCCTCCAGTTCCTGTTGTCGGACAATAAGCACAGATATACATCATTACAACATACTGTACAATGGAGAGTAAAAAAGAGTCATTTGTGACCACACCTTTGCTAGAAGTCCTTCCTGGCTGGAGTTGACCCCAAAGCGAGGGATGGTGGAGGGGGCGAGGCTGGGGCTGTGGGTGGCCTTTTTCACACCGCTGATCTGAGACATGGGCCGTTTTTTCTTGTCCTTCTCCTTGGCCGACGGAGACATGATGTCCATGTCATGTTGCTTCTCTGTCAGATAAAGACAGACACAGCAGTCTCTTATTTATTACATTTCAAACGCTAACCATATCACACATTTATCTGATACATATGTTTATGTGCAGCAAGTGCATTGACCAGAGTGAAAGGTATCTTACCGAGGAAGGTGCTGGAGATGAACTCAGACACCTGGTTCCCTGAACGGCTGGTTTCTGACAGCTGGGTGAGCTCTCGGTTCAGCATCCTCTTGAACTAAGGACAAACACACACAAACATTCATTAATCACACTCTTTTTGGATCAGGATAGATAACATCAGCACAATCTGTTTTTTTCAGTCAGGAGAAACACTTGTTGAATGCCATCAGGTTTACATCCTGCTCTCTATGTCCAAGGGTTTGGTGTATGTATGTACTGTATAGAGAGATCAAGTAAATTGTGTCATGCCACAAAGCAACTCACAAACTTTTGATTCCCCTGAGTTTGAAGGCAGAAGATGTCCTCTTGAATAATGCCTAACTTACTGGAACTCATTACCAGAGGTCACTTTGACAACTATAATCATCTATAAATATAACCGCAATACTTACACCAACAACATGTAGATGCCTTCTTTGAAGCATTCGCATGTGTTGTTTTTCTTCTCACGTCACAAAGTGCAAAAGCCAATGAAAACATAAAACACACAAAAAGCAAGTAGTCTGCTGCACCCAAACACATGCATATGGATTGGTTTATCAAATCCGAAATCTAATTGAAAGTCTCAGATAAAGTCCGCTGTCTCATGTCAGCCACCAGTTTTTTACTTTTTCAAAAGAGCAACATGTGAGCAGTGCTCATCCCCTCCCGCCCACTTTCGCCCTCGCTTCCCCTTACCTGAATGAACATCCACGACACAGTGATGAAATAACTCTCTTCTGGCATTTCAGCGCAAAGTCAAGCATGGGAGCAAAAATAAAACTGAGTGAAAGAGCTGAGCTTTCTGGTCCTCCTAAGGGAAGGGACTCTTGGTGCTCCTAAACTGATGGACTGAGCAAAATCTAAAGTTAGCAGGCAGTCCACAAGAGGAAGCTTTGATCAGTACGAGCTGAACAGATTGAAACAAAAAAACCTGTTCAGAGGTCCACGGAAGAAGAAGAAGAAGAGAGTGGAAGCATAGTGGCAGGAATGCTGAGGGATGCGAGGATGCTAGGCAGAGAAGCCTGTGCTCCCCCTGACTCTCCCTCATTCACTCAGTTACTGCCTGCTCCTCTGTGTGTGTAAACAGAGGCAGAACGAGGTACTCTAATCTCCGCCTCCTTCCAAACATGCCTAAGAATAGAGGCCAATCAGACGGCTGCTGCAGCAGAGGCTGGGAGAGACGGAGGGATCTCATTGGTGGGGGGATGCACTCAGTGGGCAGGGCTGAGTGTGACGGAGGCAGAGGTTGTGAGACACACCATGTGCACCAAGTTTGAAGTAGACATGGAGGAGAAGCTCTGATAGGATGGAGTGGGGGATTTCATTCACGGAGCCAAAAATAAAAACAGTTCCCGAATCGACCTTATGAATATGATTGTAAACACAAAGATAAGCTCCAAACAGGCTGCCTAAGCATCATTGAAATGTTATGTTAATGAGTGGAAATAAACTAAAGCTGCACAAAAAAAACACAAACTTTTAACTTGGCGCAATTACTCTTTATAAAATCGGCAACCCAACTTTACACTTAATTAACTATGTTGTAAAATTCTGAATGGACTTAAATGAGCATTGCCTCAACTGAGCTATTTAAACATTTAACATTTGAAAAGTCAATAGAGTTCTCACTCTTTTTAGGAGTCATGTATTAAAGAAAACTGTTTTGTGACAGAGATGCAGAAGCTGCTCATTGACTGATCTGGAGAAATGGGCTGGTGCGTAACCATGTGGCATGTGTAATGGTATATGTATCATGTATACAATGTGTGTGTGTGTAAACATGAAGAGCCTGTGCATATTGTGTGGGCGGTCTAATTGAAGAATCATCAAGCCTGGATGAACGGATGTGGGGGATGCCGTTGCATCTTCAGCTCCACCTGCCTCAGTTGATTTGTCTGCAGATGTGTGGGGGGAGGAGTGTGTCTAGTCACTATTTGCATACACGAAACCAACCCGCTCATTCACTAAATCAGCCCCTCTCCACTCTGTCGATGGATGGAAGATGCGCTTCATATTTTCATGATGGTTTCTTTCTAAAAGTGAGCTTTCTGATTTGTTTCAGGATCGCTGAGGGCTCACTGTGTGTTTGCGCATTTTGTTAGTACCTTGTTGGAAGCCATCTCGCTGACAGAGTGTCGAGTTTTCAGTGTCTCCAGTTGTTCCAGACACCAGTCCAGCTCATCCAGAGTCTCTATTGCCAGCTGCTGGTGCGGCTCCTCTGTACAGGACAAACACAGCAAGGAATTATGGGAAAGTTACAACTAGTAGAGACTGCTCACATTTTGATTCAATTCCCAAAAAGTAGTTTTACTGTTTAACTTTCTGTTATTGTTGATTGAGAAATCTAAATAAATGTTTATGTAGTTGTGGAAGGCAACTATACTGTCACATTTCTAGTTACTACTGTAGTTACCTCTTAGCAAGATTTTATGTACAAAAGTAAAACGCATCCTGCAACAATAATGATAATAATAATAATAATAATAATATTTGTGCACACAAACAGGGGCCACCAGTGTAGTGTATACCTTCACTTTTTGAACTTGTACTTAAGTGACATTTATCTCTGTGATGTGTCACCAGTAACCCAAATTGTAGCATGATAATGCCCTTCTCTCAGTCTTTTAGGCTTTCCAGGCTCAGTGTTGATCATGGGATATTGATAAGTAAACAGCCCATTTCTGACATCAGTACCAACCTGCGAGGCTGGTCTTGCACATGGATGGTGGATTGTTGCCTGAGGATCGTGTCCTGCAGACAGAAACCATCCAAAGTGAGCAAGCAAAATTCATAATGTAACTACAGCATGATTATATTTATACTTGTGTGACAGTAAAAAAAAAAAAGTAAGACCTACTTGCTGGCTGTGCGATCTTGCTGGCCGGTTATGACGGCAAAGTTACCTCGGACTGTCCTCAGGCTGGCGAGAACCTAAAAGATAGGAAGAAGAGATTGGATGCACAAGGTCATCATCATCCTCATCATGATCATAATGTGACGCACAATACATTTCTGATGAAACCACACATGCCACTTAATCCATAGCCTTAAATACTTGCACATGCCTTCACTTAATTCATCTTGAACTAGAACGAGCCTTGGCAATCAGATAATGCTTTCATGCTCGAAGCTAAAGTGCTGCACAAAAGCATCCCCGTTTTCATTTCTGATGTTTTGATGTCATGTCTGTCACTCCATCTGGAGCCAAACACTGGCTCAGCAGCCAGAGTATCCGGTATCCAGGCCTGACCAATGTAGCAGCCCTTATCAGCCAACATGCGTATTTAAACAGCATGATCAAGCAGTATTGGATTCACTGCTTATTAAAAGTTTAAAGTGAGCATACTGTAAGTGTGACGCACATCCCACGCAAGAGCCATGCAATGCTAGCGGGATGCCTGATCCTGTCCCGGGGCCAACAAAAGGCTGAGGGGCTGTTCCTATGAGGCAGAGAAGCCCGGTCTCGATACCATCTGTACTTTATTTTAGACCTGCTGTCTTTAGCTAACAAGTGAACGGGATTGTCTTTACATTTGACCATCTGGCAATATTTCTAATTGGCATATGATGAAAAAAAGCCCTGAAAGGTTGGATGACTCACCTGTGCAAATGGTGTGACAATCATGTCTTCTGTATGTCTGCAATTCAGAACAGAATACACAGGAGGAAAAGGCATGAAACACTGACTAGAGAAACTGTCTTTAAGCTCCTGAATTATGATAATTCATCTGTGTTAGATAGCAAGGCTTGATAACGTTGTAAAGAGGATTTAAATAGAAACCAAACTACACCTGATACCACTTTCATATGAAGCAACCAGGGAGCCAGAGAATTCAAATGTACTTACTCGGATATGCTCATTCATCACTCTTTTTTGTCATCATTTTGTTAAAATGTAATAATAATAATAAATTCGATTTGTAAAGCACCTTTCATGTTAAATGTAGCTAAAATGTCATGCACTGTGTATGGTTAGGATGGTGAGGAAACAGTTTAAGGAGGGTGGAAAGGTGGGTGATATCAATTGGAACTGGTAAATATTCACAAGCAAATAAAAAACAGACTTGGTTGTCTCTGATTAAGCGCCACATGCAAAAAATAACAAAAGAGAACTGGATGTTTTGGGGGGGGGGGGTTAACTCGGATCATAGGTGAAGTGTTTAATATTTAGTCACATTTGTCAAGTGGGAGGTGGGAAATAAAGCAATCTAGAAGGAATGCAGGAGAGGAGAGTCAGTGTTTTTATCCAATTTTTTTTATCGTGTTCTTCTCACCGAGATGACAACCAGTTGACTTCCCAGTGCTTCAAGCTTTCTTCCCTTCAAAAACAGATAGGCGAGAGTCGATGAGGAGACCTGCGACTGCTACTTACAGACTTAAAGGTGTTCAGACATTATGACCTTTGTAGGGGACTGGTTTTAGAAATACATTGTAAACACAAAAGGGGAATCAAAGTATCAACAAAATGTTGTATTTTGCCCATTTCTTTCTTGCATTTGAGATGGAAAAATAGTTGGAAGACCTAATGTTGGGCGGTAGATCGGTGGATTTAATACACACACCTAAAAAACAGCCTGTTTGAAAACTGCCCTAATGAATCTGAAAGACTGAAACACGAAATTGAAGTTAACTTAAGGTAGACCCCATTTATCAGAGCATTGGCCTTGGGGTTTCTCTATGAAGCCAAAGAAAAAGGGCATATTAAAGGGTATGTTTTCAGTTATGTTTTAACATCACAATACATGCAGACAGTTATTTTTTTACCAGATTATCAGATTGAATCCATGCAATTTTGTTTAATTTAGAAAGGTGTTAATTGTAAAGCGCTAACCTAACTGTTGTTACTAGTGTCTTGAAGCTTAACGTCCTCCTGAGCTGCCTAAACAGAGGGGCCTGGATAATTGGACTGTCGCATTTCAGGAAACCAGAAGGGTATTCACAAAAGCCACTCGACCAAAACTGCCCCTTTTTTGGTGGAGAAATGTCATCTCTCTCTGCAATCAACTATTGACTAGCCTGCAATTTAGAGAGGAGGTCAGTGTCTCTTTGACAGAGGAGCACTCAACATGTTTGAAGATCTGTGTTTATTTAGTTATGCTTAGGTTCTAAAGCATTTCTTCTTAAATGATATATAATTAACCTTACAGTATGGTTGACTTTTGTTGATGTTGTAACTCAAAGCAGCACAGTCTTCATTTCGTGTATTGAATTGGACATGCCATAGTAGGAACGAGAACTTTTGAGACAGTTGTGGGGGGTGGAAATAAAGGCTATAATCTTGAACAAATCAAGAAAAACAAAGAAAATAAGTATAAATGATTGTGTATTGTGTAGTACCATTGACGAAGCAGTGCCAGATCAACAGTATAGACTTGTGTAACGACTAAAATAGACTTACAGGTCACTGGCAGTGGAGGAGTTTCTGGAAGGACCTTTGGGTGAAAGGTCAAAGTCAGAGTCGGAGCGGTAGAGGAAAGATTCCCGTCGCTGGCTGTGAGGAAAGTTGGCCTGTAGGACCAGACCGGAGCTGGGGCTGGCCTGGGGGTCCAGAGGGCTGCGCCCCACAGACAATCCATTCTCCACATCAAAACTAAAACAACAAGAGAGAGGGACAGAATGTATTCAGGTTAGATAACTCAACACACAGTTTATGGGTAAACATGCAGATTCAGAAGAATCCATGCCTCCGTCCTGACACCCACTTCTTGAATAAGGTGTTGGCATTGTAAAACCAATAGCGAGTGAATGTTTTCTCATTACATGTTAATCCTACAACTGATTTAAACACATCATTATAAGACATAATGTGTGCAGAAGGAAACTAATGTCCTGTATTAATCTCCTTCTGGACATTCCTGTAACACATACAGTTTTGTGTTTTGTTTGTATCACGTAGGAACAACTGGAGTACTGATATAACAATTGAATAAACTAGTTTCAGTGAGAGTAGCAGCCAGTGTGGATGTAATAGTGAGACAAATACATAAATCAATAAGGACTGATCCAAAGACCACAGGTTTCATTATGCTATTACAATATTACACTTGTGACTGTGTAGTCTACTCCAGATAAGAGAGTCTGATTCAGCTCCAGTAAGGATGAAAGGGAGAAACATAATATGCAATTCTCCAAATCTAAAAATATAACACGCTTTCATCACTCTGTAACACCATACAGCTATTTTTATCTTTTTCACAGGAAATAGTGTATTTTAGAAAGGAAGTGTGACTAGTAATGCACAACATAAGATGTGAAAATGACAAATTTAGGAGGGTTGCACAATGGATGTGACAGTGTGAAATATGTGGGATTGCAGTTATCACACTGATATATCCGACAGAGTAGACTATAATCAGCACTGCATTTAAATGTGTCTGAAGGAAACACAATTAGACAGGAACCACAACAAGGGGTGTTGAGAGCAAAATAAAGAATAGCTTCTAATTCTGATGTCTACAAATGATAATATTCTTGCAATTCTTGAGCCAACCATTATAACTGACCAACAAAGCCATTCACATCAAGTCGATGACATCAGAAATGGGAGCAAAAATCTCTCCATTTGATACTTTCGGGGTTTTTTCCGCATATCATGAAAGACTGACTTAGGGCTAGCATGTGTTCAGTTATAGAAGGTTGGCCTGAAAAAAGCCAACATGATATGCACTTCATCAGAGGTGTGAAGCATGCATGCTAATGAACATTCAGAAGAGGCCTGCAAGGGCTAAAGGAACATCTGGTATAACATTTGCATCAGAGTATTGAGGTGGGTTCAGGTGTGAGTGCAGGTCTAGAAATATCTCTGCGTTCAGGTGGAGGAGCAGTTTCTCTTAAACATTATATGACTAAAAGGAAAAACACAAAATAAAGTCACGGCAAGGCGTCTTTTCCCAGTCTGGGCACGTTCTTGCTATAATCCACATCTCTATTTTCCCACAGCCCCTGTGCAGACATGCAAACCCAGAGAGACTTCGTCAACCTGCAGCTCCCTTTGGCAACACGTCTCCTTTTCTAAACAGTCTGAGGAACTCCAGAGTAGAAATCTAGGCTTTAGCAAAACAACCATTAGCAGAACGTGAAGGATTTTGGACAGGCAAGACGCTAAGAAACACATTCGATCTTTTCAAAATAAATACAGCAGTGGAAAGGATATTCAAAAATAAAAATCCCTAAAATCCAAGGCAAACAGAAAACTGTAGCTATGGCTGCAGCAGTATTAGCTGGAGATGTCTGTTGTTGATAGTGTGCGAAATAATGAAACTACACCGAAAAATATCATCACAGTACCAAATACATCAAATATTCCTGTACTACGGCATAACACAGTACTAAATACTCTGTAGCTACTCATCATTTAATTTGACTAACACTGTAAAAGAATATAAATGTTTGTGTTTAGTGGGTACTATGTTAAACATATTGGTGTGTCATGTTCGACATGTGCTAATTAGCACTCAACACTAAGTAAACAACTGATGGGAAAGTCGTTATTCTACAAGCATTGGACAAATTAACATTAAGGATGATGAGAAGGACTTCCAAAATATTACCATTCATCTTATAGACGTAGTGAAGGTCTGCAGCACATTTCATCTCAATCTATCCATCCAATAGATATTGAATTCAAAACCACAAATGTTAACCTCATGGAGGTTCTAAATGAAAATCAGGGGATTACCACATCCTGATGCCTTTGTGCCAACCCATCCAATAGTTGATGAGATATTTCAGTTAGTGCTACTTACACCATTTATACTTAAATGTGATTCCATTGAAAAATCCAGGCTTGCAGCTTCATACAGTGAAATATCTAATAGTGGGTGTGCTGCTCTAACATGCAAACATCCCATTCCTCTTTGCACTCCATCCTCTTCTGCCCCTCCCCACCCTGATACTCTCCTCAGATGCTGCATGAGGACAAGAGACTTTGTTACTGGCTATTACGTCACACTGAACAGAAGCCCCCATCTCTCCATTCATGTGGCAGATTCAGACTCACTGATGGCACTATACATAGCCAAGGAGAGGAGTCAAAGGAAGGGAGGGCAGGCAGCGTGCTGAGGGTAAAACAGGGCAAAGCACGAGACAAGCACATGAGTTCTTTAAGGTCTTAACTGTGCATTGTGTCTCGCTGTCAGGGTTCATGCCTACACATGTGTTTTCCCCTGTGTCACAGATGTGAGGACAATCAATCATCTTTGCAGAAAAATTCAAGAATCAAGCATGTACCAACTGCACACATATTATGTTTGATTCTGATCTGTAAGAACACATATCATCTCAGTTACTACAAGCACGCACGTAGCTATGAGCCCCACCCACTCTTTACTCTCTATCTGTCTTGTTTGTCCTCTCTAATGATGTTGCACGCTCTGACCAGAGACTTGTTTCTATTTGTATTCCTGCACGACGCTCCCGCCTCTCTGTAGCTAAATTTAGCCTGCTCACACATGGGGAATATACCGATAGAGGCAGCGAAGCAGCCAAAAATAGATTGTCAGGTAGAACACAGAGCCACCCCCTCCCCTTCTCTTTTCCCTCTGCAGCACATTTCTTTCCTCCATTCATGAATATTTATGGAGAAGATTCTATTTGAAGCCGATGCAAAGCTAAAGTTAGATCACGGATCAAAATATTGCCCACGTTTTTCCCGCGTTGCTATTTCCCTGCCGTTCTCAGGGAAGTGAGCATAGAGTCATTTCTTGCTCACACACACACACACACACACACACACACACACACACACACACACACACACACACACACACACACACACACACACACACACACACACACACACACACACACACACACACACAAAATCATACATAAACTACATAGCAGGGCTTAATATATTTGTTTGGAGCCAATGTTGACGTAGTGAATGTGCTCCGAAACACTTCCATTGTGCACAGTCTCTAAGCATACACTGCATAGTATGCTCAGTAAATATGTCAACTGAGGCATTCTGTGTTTTCAAAGGTTCAAAGGTCAGTTTTAAGGCTAAGCGCGCTCGTTGTCCGGACACGAACTTTGTCCCACACCACGGCTGGACTTCATATATGGCTCTATTGTCTTTCAGTTTTTCACATGCCAGTTGAACTCATTCCTCAATTCAGTCCTTTCCCCTCTCTCTTTTTAGCCTCAGCCGCAAGTGATAAACATAAAATAACTAAATGGCGTTATTTTTGTTATATTCCCGTTGAGTGGAGCATGTTATTTAACTTTACCAGATAAGCATGTGTGTGAGTGATGGCTGAAATGTTTAGTAGATGCTTTCTGAGGAATGAAATCATCCAAATGACTCTGAGGACAGAGTCCCTCTACTGGGCGTCGGTGAGATTGCAAGAGCTGGCAATTGTGAATATTCAACTGTAGACTTTGGACATTTACTGTAGAGCGAAAATAATATCATCACTGGTTACTCGGTTGACAAAGACTTCATTAGCAACAGTTTGGATAACTGATTGATTGAGAAATGTTTCCAAAAACAAACAAAAAATGCAGAACATTTCCAACAGCCTCTGAAATAGGAAGATGTATTTCTCCGATTTTATAGTAAATGTAATATCTCTGGGTTCAAACTGTTTTCGGGGGGGAAACCCCATTTATAACAACATGTCACACTAGGGGAAAAGTATGCAAGATTGCAAATAAAATTGATTCAATAAATTGAACTGTCAAAAAAACAGACATGTGCAAAAGTGAATCCACTTACATTAACTCATCTGTTTTCGTTTTTAGTTAACTTTTGTGACATAGTTTTTTAAAACAATTACACATAATGACCTGTGATCAAGATACAAGTTAAAATGACAGGACTATAATAGCAATAGATGATAAAAGATGAGACTAAGAAGGAGAAATCCATCATGAAAGATAACAAGCAATCTGAAACACATTCCACTCCTGTGATACTGTAAATGTTTAAATAGATCCATCCTGATTTGGCTTCTGCATTCGCACATGGGGCCACACACACGCACGCACGCACGCACGCACGCACGCACGCACGCACGCACGCACACACACACACACACACACACACACACACACACACACACACACACACACACACACACACACACACACACACACACACACACACACACACACACACACACACACACACACACACACAAACACACACACACACCTGATTACTTTCTGAAGACCAAACTGGAGCCAACATTCCTGGGCACCATAAAGCCCAAAAAGAGAAAGTGTATAGAGCGAGGTGTGTTACAGCGTTTGTTATTTAAGTGGCTGGCTGGTAGGAAGTGTGATTGATGGTAAACTGTCAGTGGCCCTGTTACTCGACACCTCGCCTGCGTCACCGCCTGTCACGGCAACGTCAATCCCATCTGGGGAGCATTAAAATACAGGAGCTACGGGGCAGAGCAAGCAGGAGAGGGAGAGAGGAGATAGGCCTGTAAACCAGGGCAAGCTGTCATCTGAACCTTCATTCATCACTCCCAGGCCTTAGCCGTGACACAGCCAGAGGTAGAGTTTTTTACACCAGACTCGAAGGACCGGTTCAGCCATTTATTCAAAAGATATTCACTGTAAACGGATGCAATGAATACATGT